GGACAACACGTTAAATTCGTTCGAAGACTACTTCCGGTACCTAATTCATGAGTATGATTTAAAACAGAGACAATGCGTTTTTTGGGTGGATAATTGTGATATTCACAACACTATGAGAAGAATGCTAGATAATACAAACCACACTGTAGTATTTAATGCTGCGTACTCACCAGCACTAAACCCAATTGAAAATATATTTGGGATCTGGAAAAGTAGGGTTGAAAAAAATGTGAGGACTTGGAATGGCATCGAAAATTTTCTTGAAAAAATCAGAGATGGTTTTTTAACTATTAAACCAGAAGAGTGCCAAAGTTGTTTTGAAAATGTTAGGGAAATTGTGTGGCCTCGAGTGTACAACCAAGAAAATATTTAATCAAATGTTTTTAAACAATGTATGGTTAATATAGTTCATTTATTAGTCTATTATAATGATATATATAATATATAATATATATAATTATATGTTCAATAATAAAATATTTGTAATAATTATTGATAAAGTTATATTATAAATTTATTATTTTTATTATGTATCATAATTGTGAAAATTTGTATTAAAATAAATAATAAAAATAGATTAAAATTTAGTTATATAATAGTATAAATATAGTTACATATTAAGTATTTTTAACAAATAATAACTTGCTTATTATGTGTATTTTTATTCCTAATATTCGTGAATATCCAATAATTTGTAAAAAAAGCAAAATATTTTCAAACAAAAGTTATATAAGTTATCAAAAATCCTATATATTTTAGAAAAAAACTATTGATTTTACTAAAAATGTTGTATAAATTAGAAAAATGCCATATAATTTATAACAAATATAACCACTTTCATTAAAAGTAATATAATTTATAAAAAACACAGTCTATTTCATTAAAAGTAATATAATTCATTAAATACAATATAAACCATAAAAAATACTGTCGAAAATATAAAAACATAATCGATTTATTAAAAAATATTATCGATTTGAAACCAATAAGCACTGTATGACTTTTATTTTATAATGTAACAAGCAATAAGTAAATCACAAAAACACCAAACATTTGGATTGTTTTTTAATCATTTTAAACTATTTTTTATTCAATTGATTACATAAAGTAAAAAGAGTAATTAAATTATAATTTTTATGAATAAAGTCGCGCATATTTTTATAATATATTTTATGTATTTTATTTTTGTTTTTATAAACAACGTTTTGAACACTTAATATGTATTAATAATTGTGATACAAAAAAAGATTAATACATCACTTTTAACTAAAATTGAATTTATCATTCAAGTATTTTGAAATTATACCCAAAGATTGAGTCTGAAATAATAACATAGATGTTTTTTATTCTTTTGTTTTCAATGAAAAAATAAATAATTTGTTCAATGATATAATAATTATAATGTATGTTATAAACATTCATCAAACTTAACTAAAGTATTTTTCCAAATATTATATTTTGAACAATTTGATAAAATTTTAAATTGTTAATATTCTGAAAACAAATAAATCAATTTGTTTTCATTTGTAATATAATATATACAAGCGACTTTTTCAAATGTAAATCCAGATAATATGTCCACTACATCATTTCAAATACAAGACATACACCAAACATTGAAATAAAGCTTCTGATGTT